ATAGTTTACAAAGGTTTAATAAAGCACACCTAACTAACCTGACAGAGGGTTAATTTAAAAAAAAAAAAAAAAATTAATTTAATATATTTTTTATTAATAATAAAATTTTATATTTTTGAAAATTTATATCATACAATTATTCTTATATTAATATTAATATTATTATATTTAGTAATATATATATTGTCTATACAAAATAAGTAATATAATTGATGTTAGTCACTATTATTGTTAGATTAGAAAACAATTATTAAAAATTGAAGCAAATATAAGTTTATTATATTTTAAATATAAATCTCTGATAAATAAGTAAATAATAACAATTGAGTAATAACAACAATTCTGTAATAATATAAAATATATTATATTTAACATATATAATATAGAGCTTTATATAGTAGTAAATATAAATAATACTTAATATATATTGCAGATAGTGAGTAAAAGAAAAAAAATATAGTTAATATATTAATCAAACCTTTAAAAATACATAATAAGTACTTAAAACCATGGGTCTCCCAATAATTACTGCAATAAAGAGAAATCAATTAAAAAAAATACTATATTAGTATTAGAAATATATATTGTTTTAGATAGTATTATTGTTAAGATATTGAGAATTAATACAAATTATTAAGTGGTTAAATACTGAATAAATTATAAACAATAAAGTTACAATAATATGTATTAAGAAGCAGAAAAAAATAGAATTACAAAGATTTTAAAAAAAGATAAAAAATTATTGCTAGTAATATAATTTATATATAAGTAGAAATAAAAATCTAATTTCATTAATAAGTCTATATTATAAAAAAAAAAAAGAAAACTTATAGACTAGAAGCAATAATAAACAATATTTCTGAAAAGAAATTAAGGTATATTAGGTAATACTTTGAAACCTTCACAAATAGAAACAAATCTCTTAAAAAGGAATTTATTAATAACAATAAGTGATTGATTTTTTAGGAACAAGAAAAAAAATATTTTAAGGTATATAGAAAAGATAAATCAAAAGATAACAATTTCTCTATTTAAAACACAACTCCTCAAATTATATTAATATGCAAAAAACTAGAAGAAATATAAATAAAAAAGTTTTTCAAATATTTGTTTGATGGATATAAATCAAAGAGTTACCAAATACTATATATTTGAATATCAAGAGTTATTTTTTCAAAATCAGAATTAAATAATATAAAAATTAATAAAATTCTAATTGAGAGAAACATCAATTTAGCAAGATTTCTAGATATAAGCAAAATATATATTAGTCTAGTAGCTAGAATATTGAATAGTATTAAAGTATACTATATATTCAAAAATCTCTTCACACTTAGAAAACAAAATTTTATAATAGTTTGTTTTGAAACAAAAGAAAACAGAGATAATGAATACAAATAATATATTTTTTTACAAAATTTATATCTTTTTTGAAGTATCAAATATATTGTTAATCTAGAAAAAAATTTTTAATAATATAATAAGAAACTATTATCAAAAGTACAGATATAAAAAATAGAAGTAAATAAGAATTTGATTTTAAACTCATTGCTAGATACTGAATTCATAAACTTTGATATTATTCTTATAAAAAATCCGAGTTTTAAAAATTGAAGATAAACTAGATATTACTATAATTGCAAAACTAAACAAGAAAACAATAAGACTTATAAATATACAATTACTAAAAACAATAAAGAGTCAATTAAAAATCAAATATTTAGTTATTATAGATACTTAAAAGATAAAATAGAATCTAAAGCAGGAGATTTATAGAATTTTTTAAAATATATTTTAGTAAATCTAGAAAGACTAAATAATAGAATAGGTATATTAGAAAAATAATCAATTTTTTGATAAATAAAGATATGGTAATATAAAAGCTAATTGTTTTTAAGAATAAATCAGTTATTCAAAATAATTAAAAGAAGCTGAAGCCTAATATCTCCTTAACAAATATCATAAATAAGGATAAAAATAATTAATAAAAGACAATAATATAATAGAACAGGATTATAACTTAGATATAATAATGTTTTTATAAAATAAATGATATATCTTTTTTATAAAGAAAAACAAAAATAATTTGATAAAGAAAAAAAAAATAGAAAAAAATAATAAAATTTTTAAAAAAGTAATAAGAATAGGTACACACAATATTAGAAATATTACAGACAAGATAAATTAACAAAGTCTTAATAAGAAGATACTAAAGTAAGGAATAAATATACTAGGATTATATGAAAAAAAACTTATTATATCAATGTATAATGGATTTTTAATAATCAAAAAGTCTATAAGCAATTTTTATTGTATCAATAATGATATATCTTTTAAAGCAGGAATCAATCTTTTAACTAGAAAAGATCTTGAAAAAAAATGGTATCAGTAGAGAAGAATAAAGGATATATAATTGTAGCTAATCTGTTTATAAAAAAAAAAAACTCTATATAATACAAATTTATATTTTCTCAGGATTTTTATAATAAATTCAAATTTAGTATAAGCAATCCTTTTATTTTTAAATATATTTTTTATCAAATTTAGATTGCTTTTATTTGATAATATATGATACTGTATATTATATAATTGAAAGAAAATAAATGATGTTTTTAATAATAAACTAAAAATTAAATATGTTATGTATTTACTGTAAAAATATAAACTTGCAGTATTTTGGATATATAAATCACTATTTTTCTTGCATCAAATTATTATTTTCATGATAAAATATCAAACACACTGGCGATTTCAATTACGTAATTGTGATCTAAAATAAAACCTTCATATTAACTTTGAATTTCCAGCCTCTTAATTTGACTTGATCTGGTTTGAAAGCAATAATATAATTTTGGCATGGCCAAAAAGAACGAATTTTTGTAGTAAGCGTTCATATAAAACACTCGAGACATTTATTTATGAAATATCACCTGAAAATCCTTTAACGCGAAATGATACCGATGCTACATATTTGCCGGGAAAAACTACCATGAATGCCAATAGAAGGTATTCCTGATCCCGAATGTACGACATAAGTAGTCCCCTTGTCGCCACCATACCATTTAGAAATACGACCTCGGTCAGTATGAAATTGTATCGCATATAAAACCGATCCGATTCGTATATAGATTTCTTGTATTTGTTCTCCTTCCTCCCACTTAAAATCATGCGGTTTTCCGTCACCAGGTAAACCATATATATCAGACGTGCCATCAGAATAAAAGAAACCCATGGCGTTAACCATATCAGATGACCAAATTCTTAAATATATGAGATACGCATCTCCCTTTTTGAGCAATGCACGAAACTCGGTGCAATCTCTATTACTAGAACTAAATTTATCCTCGAGATTGAAGTCATCTAGAGGTTTACGTCCTAGTTGTTTTACGGCAGAAGAGTACTGTTCATGTTGTTCCTTAAGATTATCAATGGCATATTTTAAGTACTTCAGATTCGCTAACGTTAGTTTTTTAGGAACACCCGTCGATTCGGCATTAATGTCCTGTATCCTGCGACGATATTCAATTAAAAATTCTTCGAAATTGACGAGACTTGGTGCCAGATCTTGCAGCGCTTTAATTATGTAGCGGACTTGAAGGAGCTCGTTTTCAATTCTTTTCCGTAAAGTATAATCCGCAATCGTACCTGTCCAATGTTCTTTTAAAGCACTCTCGGCTTCACTTTCGCCGTCAATCAGATACGCTTTTGCATTGCCGGCACTATCTCTGATTGTGTATATTGATTTAATAAGAAGTTCAAGATGGTTTTGAATGCCCGGTATTCTGTCCTCCAATACCCTCAAACGCTCGTGAATATACTCGTTGTTAATATGACCCGATTTAGGGTTTTTTATTTCTTGCGTTATGTCATCCATCTCGCTTTCAAGGGACCACATGAATTTCTTTGCTTCATAGTTAAAATTTCCTAATTCATTGGTACAGCCACGAATATCATCATCTAGAACGAAGAGTACTTCAGAAATTAATTTCCCATTCCTTGTTACAATGTCACTTTTTTTCATAAGTATTCCTAAACTGTGAATTATAGCGCGGTATTGACTTAATTCACTTGTTTCTAAAAGAGAGTCAAGGAAATTAGTGAAATAATTAGAATTTATTGGGATTGCGAATACCATGCAAATATACCTGGGACATATTCTTTTGATATTACGCTATGTTTTTCACTGAATCGTGTCTAGCATTATCAATTTTATTAGGGATCTAGTTCAGAAATGGACTATTAATCTGTACCATTTTCTTACCCAGTCATCTCGAACATGAATTAAAAAATAATTCATTCCCTGACACATCAACACCATAAATATAATGGGTATCAATACTTTAAGGGTAATAGGTCCCGTCAATTCAGTTGAGCTCGCGGTTGGATTTTCTTGTTCCTGTGTTTCCGACTGGGTCGCTGGACGACGTTGTCGAATCGCAGAGTTTCCTGCACACACCGCAGACATTTTTTGAATTTAGAAACAATATCCCGGGTGATTATTGAATGGAAAATTATAATGATCATGAAAGCTACCATCTTCCCTAAGGACTTTGGTGTCATTTGCGTCTACAAGTTCGTTATCTATTAGCATGTCTCAAACATGGTTGAAAAGACGTGCGCAAACTCTATTTATTGTAGTTATTCCCTGATTAAAACAAATCATAAATTACTCACGGTCACTCGTGTGCAAAGGAAGCTTGGTGTTATTTAATTGGTTTATTAGACCTATGGTTATGTTGCGTGGGCGTTATTCTACTTAATATGGTTTAGTTTTAAATTCATGATTTTTACAAGATTGGAAAAAATGAGTTATATTAAAGAATTTTAGGCGCCGCATTTCCAATATTTTGATCAATGAATTCACTTTTAATTTTTGCAGTTATTATCGTGTTCGCAGGCGTTATTTACAAATTCATGTTAGACTATGAGGTAGGCTTGTTGGAAGTGTACACTTTGTTAGTTTATAAGCTTTAGGGTGCTCATTATCAACCATTGTATATAGTCTGTTGGCCTGTCGCTTTCCGAAAAATTCTTAGGAATAGATATTCTAGGTATTTATTTTGAATCACTAACCGCAAACAAAGGCTGTCAGTCCTAATGGTTATTATTGCATTCACAGGTGTTGTTGGCAAACTCCTGCTAGACTGTGAGGTAGGCTTGTAGAGTGTGCGCGTTTTTTGTTTTTTTTTTTTATATTTTTTATATTTTTTTTTCTTTACAGTATTGTATTCTCACTGTCATTTTAAAATTAGTTGGTTCTTGTGAATTTCTTTCCGGTAAGAATTTTGCGCTTTCATTCATTACTTTGTAAACTTTTAACGCCCATTATTAACTATTATATACAGCCTGTTGACTCGCCTATATTTAGAAACCTGACATACACTACTAACTCGTTTTCTGAAAAACTCACAGGACTAAATATTCCAGGTATGTCATTTTTAATTATCTATCATAAATAAAATGGCAGTTCTTATAATTGTTATTTATCAAATAAGCCCCTTTAGTAATAATGGACTATCGTGTCACGAGCAAATACCTTGCCAACATAATAGAAAGAAGTGAATTGCCTCCGGAAGATTCGAGAAAAGTAGTAAAGTATCTTAATGAACTCGGCGATCAAATTATTGGCTCTGGTGAGAACGTCGAAAAAATGTATTTTGCCGGCAATTTGGCCTTTAGAGGACTTGACCTGGAGTTAAGGTTTATCCTCGAAAATATTCACCCTGATGAAGTCCTCACACAGCAGAACACAACTTTCTTTGTCGAACGGTTTGGAAAGATTCTAAATATTGTTACCGGACTACGAGATCATTTTCAGAGAATCATAGATGACCTTGATAAACTTGTTCTGTTAGATGAAAAGATGCTTCAATCTGCAAATGGAATGAATTATGTGGAATTATATTTCGAGGATGCTACTCCGGTGTTAGATAAGACCCACGATGTGGAAAAAGCGAAACGAAAGCTCGAATATCTAATGCAATTTATGAAAATTATTCCAGATATTCGGAATCAAATAAACTATACTCTGGTCGAATTCAATCAGCATCGACTAGCGCTGATTAAAGGTCGTAGTATATGGTCTAAATTTCGAAGACGAAAGTTAGTTTCGCTTGAGGACACCGAAAAATTATATGAAACGATTCAAAAGTTAGACAGTGCAGCAAAAGTTTTTAAAACGAAAGGTTTAGAAAGTGTAAAACGAATCAGCGTATAGTAATTCAAATGTTTCAAGTAATAATGCCAAATTGAAGATACCAAGTTACTCGTATAAATTATATTCTTTAATAAAAAAAAATATATTTCCGGACAATTCTTTCTATTTCTATTTATTTAAAATATTTTGCAAAGGGTTACGACTAGTTCGTAGTTTCGGGCTTTGCTTTGAAATTAGACTTTAAACTATTATCATCATCTATGTGAAGGATTTTTCTTTAATGAGCCACAAAGATCACGTGAAACCTAAGATTGTTTTGAAAATTTTTATCAAGTAACTTGCATATTACTTTATTAAAAAAGATTTTTTAATTATAATTATAAACAAAGATTTTATCACTAATTATATACTGTATAATAATATTTAGATTATTATTGCGAATCTATAAATCTATAATGTAGTGATTAGTACTCTATAGGATATATTATAAGATTTAATAAATCAAATTTAATAGAAAACAAAATCTCTGAAAAATGGATAATAATATAATCTCTTAACATATTACCTGACGTTTCAAATATATCTGTAATTGTCTAAAAATTAAGCCACTTAATCATAATTATAAATTAATACTCTATAAAATTGTAATGTAATTAATTATTTAAAATTAACTAAATTAATTTAATCTTTCAAATAAAGACTCAACCATATTTATTAACTTTGATAAAATAATATATAAAATTAATTGTAAAAATTATAAAGATTATCATATGGAGTTATATATCATTTATGTCACTAAACTTTCTAAAAATCCAATCTTTGATAAATTTAATAGATGATTTGTTATTTGAATATATTTAATTGAATTAAAATTTCTATTACTATTTATCTAAAAAAACTAGACATCCCTTATTTGAATTTTCAATTCTTCTAAATTTTTTCAAACTAACTTATTATCACTTAACTTATTAGTTTCTTAAAAGAAAAGATATACTTTTTTTATAATCCTAATAATTATAATTTGTTATTAATACTAAATATATTTAAAGAAAAGGTATAAGTTTAATATAATAGTCTTGCATATTATACAAGAATAAATAAACTATTTGAAAAAAACTCTTTTTACTGATTCTTTAACTATACATAAAAAAGATGTTCGCAAAAAGTTTTTATTTTTCTTGACTAATAAAGTTTTTTTATTTTCCTTAAAACAATTTGAAACTTGTTTTCAAGAGTTACCATTACCCTTTTTTACTTGTTTACAAACTCCTTTAAATAAAAACTTGAGTCTCTAATGACCTGAATAGACTTAAGCACATATTTCCTTTACTAAAGACAAGAAGGTTTTAGAAAGTAAAAGCATCAACTTGTAAAATATTATCTTTTAAAACTAAACATAACATAAATATAGATGTTTTCTGAATAGAAAAAGACTTATTATCTATCTTCTCACATATTGTCACTTGCTCTCTTAGAGTATCTATAGTTTTTTCATGATTTTTTAGAAAAATTTTATCCATCCCAACTTGACCCTAAATTTTTGATAACATAATATCATCTGACTTATAATTGGCTGACATAAAACATATTAATAACAAGATATAAACAAGGTTTCATTGGCAATACTCATGTATTTTGATAATGTCATTGGTAAAATAAAAGAGAATCAATTGATACAAAATCCTCTACTCATCCAAATGAAGTGTAACTAAAGTAAAGAGATTATGAAACCATTAAAACAGGCACTAAATTCTCTAGGTAATGATGGATTTCTAAAATATTTAGTATATAAAATTTCACAGATCACTTATGTTTCTTTTTGAGAAACAAAATTTATAACTTTTTACTTTAATGGGAACAAAGATCAAAAAATGCTATAAATCAATAATTTGAATAATAAAGAACAATTGTATTTAGTTTTTTTATAGTTATTAATTTAAAAATTTTAATGTTTTTTAGTGAAGGATATTTGATTTTTATTTCTACTTCCCCTTTAGGAACCTATCTTTATCTTTAGATAATAAAAAGATAGTTATTTATTCAAGGTGAGACCTTTAATTTCTTATAATCCTGGTTAGGCTAAATACATTAAAAAGATTATTTCCTTATTTCACTTAGACAATAAGACTGAAAAACAGAAGACTGTAAATCACTACCCTTCTCTAGAATTGAAAATGTATTTCTTCAAATATTATATAATAATATCATAATCAATAAGAATTGCCACTACTCTTCTGGAACCCTTTTACCATTGTAAGGCAAAAATATTCTTAGGAAATAACTTTTTGGGCAATGAAAGATATACACTAATAAAATTTCTTTAACTAGGCATGACTGCTAAAAGATATTAATAGTTATATAATATGAACGAAAGGTTACATAAGAACCTGAGATTTACTATAAGTCATTAAAATATGTGCGGATTAATAAAAATTATAAATAAATAAGTTTCTCAGATAATCAGAAAGAAAAAGAATATTTTAGAAATGTTGACTTCTAATAAGAAAAGATCTTTAATAGAGGTCTTTTGAAAAATACAAAGCAATTTTATTTTATTTTTTTCTTTTTCTCTTTATATAAGCTTCTTTCTTTTATTTTCCCTTTCTCCTATTGTAGTTTTCAAAAATTAATTCCTTGAAAGATAATTAGCACCGACAATCTGCTAGCAATGATAGATAAGTTGTGAAGGTCTTTACCTAGAACTTATCTCAAAATGAAATATTGTTCCCAAGGTCACACTTAGAGGTTTAAGCTCATTTAAGAATTTAAAGCTTATAATGAGTGAGTTGTCATGAGATTTAGTTTAGCCATGATATATCTGCTTAATGTATTGTAAATAGTTTTGTTATTTATAATTAATAAATGCATTATGCTAATCTGATTACAGGTATAAAAAAAAAAAGAATAAAAAAACTATTTGAATCAAAATAAAAAAACCTTGAAGTAATTTTGAAATAAAGAAATGATTATGTTATTTATAAGTAAAGTAAATTCTTAATATTCTATTTTAGTAGAAAAAATATTTATTCTATAATTATAATACTTTTGAAAAGTAATAAAAAAAAAGATTATAATTTATATAATATTTATTTATCTGAATACCTAACTCATAACTTATAATAAACCCAAAGTTCTTATAGAATTTAAAAAATATGTTTACATTATATATTATATATATTTTTGTTTATATTTCTGTTAACTTTTTAAATAAAAGATTTTTATAATGAAAAAGTAAACAAAAAGAATAAAATATAATTACTTCTAAGCAAAACATGTATTTTAAAAATTTTTTTTAAGTTTTATAACTCTCAAAATATAGAGTTTTAAAGAAATATTTTTTTGAAATAATAGTTAAAAATTTATAAAAAAAAATTATATAAACTTATTTTTAATATAATTATATTATTATTTTTATTTTTTCTCTTTATCAGGCTAGTTATATGTGCTTTATTAAACATTTTGTAGACTTTATATATCAATGTGACATTAAAGCTAAATCTTTAACTAACTCACTCATCTTAACTATTGTTACTCTAAGTGCAACTTCAGAAGTAATTTATCACTTCGCTAACAATTCAAGTGAATATCCTTTCAACTATTAGTATCATTGTCTGCATGTCACCACTGCAAATCACTTTGTGAAGCTCTGATAAAAATCAAAACACAATCAATTCATTCTGTATTCAATTCCTTTTATCAATATCTACTTTAGATTCTTGTCATTCAATCTTTCTTCTTCAGGAATTAATGGTTTCTTGATCTTTATCTTTTAAACTTTCAAGCTTGGTTTTCTTACTTTATTCTTCTGTTGATTTTCTATAACCATTCCTATTCAATTACTCTTATATATTTTTTGTTTCTGATCTTCTTTCAAATATGATTACAAAACTTTTTCTATATTTTTGTAATTCATCTATGAGCTTTTTGGTCTATTCTTTTATTATAACATTTGAGATCAGCTATTGCAATAAGCCAATTATTTTTTATAAGTCCTATACAAAAGCTTAGCATCCCATAATCACTTTTGGAAACTTTTTCTATAAATTGGAAGATTAGCTTATCTAGTTTTCTCTTCTCCTCTCTATCATTTGTAATTAGCTGTATAGTTTTTTCTTTTATTTCTTTTTTTCTTTTTTGAAAAAGTTTCTTAAATTCCTTTAATACCTCTTCTAATTATTTTACTCATGCTTCTTATAATTGCTTTTATATGTTAGGCATTCTAGTAAGTAGTTCACCATTTCTGCATCTTTATTGCACTCTATATATACCATTTGTTTATAAATATCTAATCTTTTTATTGCTAGTTTTATCAAATTCAATAACTCATTATTTGCTAATTTTACAAGAAAACTTTTTTGTGAAAGTCTTTGAAAAAAGTATTTCAGTTATATCTATCCTTTATTCTGTCCTACATAATGTTCCATATATCTTTATGCTAGTCTTATATTTGTTGATTTCATTTTTTCTGTGTTCAATTCTGTTGCATCTATTGATAAACTGTTATCTTGCCATTTACTTTTTTGATAAATTGCCTTATTGGAGTATCCAGTGTTATATTTTACTATTTAATTTCTGTAATAATTTTAAATAATTTGAAATCTTTCTATTTTATTTTAGGAAGTTGGAGCACTTCTTTGATTATGGCATCTGCTTCTTCATTATATTTATCATTAAAGTGGGCCTTAACCTTGATTTGCTTCAGGTTCAAGTATTTTTTCTCTACAAGATCTAATATTCACATCCATAAAGATCAGTTTTTCTTTTTCAACTACTTTTTATGTATCTTTCTGAAATCTTTTTTCTTTAGTTTCTTCCATTTGAAGATACAAGCTTGACTGTCTATATAGATCTTAACTCTACTTTCAATAGGAACAACCAGTAGTATAGTAACTATTGCTATCAATTCTGCCTTTGTTAATAATAGCCAATTTCCTACTCCTATTTAAAATTTGTTTTCTCTTTCTGTTTCTTCTATTTTAATCCATGCTACTTCTATTTTTATTTCTTTGCTTCCATGATTGATCAATGATTTATCAAAATAGATGTTCATTACTTTATTT